CTTTTATGTGTTAAGCCAGATAGTTATATGAAAATCAGGTAATATATTTTTTAATAATATCTCAAAATTCAGATCAAACAATATTGTACTTCATGAGTTTTTAGAAAAACCTCATAAATGATCCATTGGTCTCACTATATTTGATGTTATTGAATAATGTTATGATTTGGATTTTTTGTTTTTAGTGGGGTTTTTAACTTTGAAGTATTTGCTTCAGATTTACTGAAAGTAGAATTAATGGGGTTTTTTTGAAATTCTACTTTTAGACCTGGGGGGTGAAGGTTCAGAATCAGATGTGTTCACAGTAATGGATGCTAATTCCACTGATCCTGGTTTAAGAGGTCCCAGTGACACTTGGATAACAACTTTCGTTTCAGGAGGCAATCCTTCCAGTTGCTTAGGCTTCTTAAACATTTGATGACACTGGGTCTTGTGCTCCATTTTCTCCTTGAAAGTTAAAAACTGTAGCCGGCATTTGGAACACTGGTGAACATTCTTTTCCCAGTGTCCTCTATAATGACACATGTATGGTGTTGCAGTTTTGAAAATTTTAAGACAAAATGGGCAAAGCAAATTCTTAGTGTTTTCGTGGTATGTTCTGAAATGTGTTTCTACATCAGCAAAGGCTGACGATCTGTAATTGCAGACCTGGCACACGTAGGGCATTTCACCAGGCTTATGATTGTCCTTCATGTGCTGTAAGAGAACCTGATCTGTTTCAAAAGACAACTCACAGATTTTACAGACTGCAGAGGGCTCCTGGAAAGTATGGACACTTTCAATGTGACACTGCAGCTGGAAGGGAGTGGGAAATTGGCGGTGGCAGTGCTGGCAGGTAGTATGGTTTTTCCAGCTGTCACTCCTCTGCTTTTCAAGTTCCAAATGGTGCTTCATGTGATTCATAAACTTGACATTTTTTAGAACTTTCAAGCAGCTGAGGCATTTAAAGGCTGTGTGAGTCTTCTGTTCTGGCTGCCCATCTCCTGTATGCTGTCCATAGTAAAAGTCACGAAGTAACACGATCAGATTTCCTTTCGTGGGATCAACAGTCTTGTTTTGACTTGTTAGACTCGAAAAGTCTGTTTTTGCCAGTCCGTTTTCCCCAAAAGGACTTACAGGCTTGCAATGAACACTGTCCTTTGGAAAAGCTGTTGGACAAGGTTCTCCATTCTGAACATGGCTTAATGAGGTATGAACACTGTCTGAGGGTGTGCTTTGCTGAGCTGTCATTGTATGAAAGATACCTGAAGGGGCCAGAGCTAAAGAGTGTCCCCCTAAGATTCCATTACTGAGTTTAGGCCTTTGGGGATTTGTGCTATTTGTTTCAGAAGTGGAAAGTCGTTTTGTTACACGAGGACTTTTATTCATACCTCCTATAGAAAGTGCTGCTCCTACTGGATGCTGCAATGAACTTGTGAAGGTAATCAAAGGAGGAGAACATAACTCTGAAGAGCTAATAGGCACGACTTGTAGTAAATTATTTTTATAATCAGGTTTAGACAAAGGCTCAATAATAATAGGACTATCTGTTGATCTTGACTCAGAGTCAGAAACTGGTAAGACAGTCATTGCTTCTGATGTAGGCATCACATGACTTACAGGCCGCAATTTGTGAGCATTATCTTTTCTGACGTGACCAGACTGTCTTCTCCTTGAACACGAACCTGGGGTAACTCTGTTCAATATGTTTGAAACGACTGGTTTTGAATTTGAGGTCATCCCAACAAAGATCAGCTCAGCATCTTCATTTACATGTTCCACCCCAACGAAGATCAGTTCAGCATCTTCATCGTCTACTTGTTTGGTTTCTTCTGTGCTTTTCTGTGGTTCTGACTCTTGTTCTTCACATAACATACATGGTGGTTCCATTTTCTAAATTTTTTTATTCTTGAAGGGTGTGGCCACAGGTCCCAGTGCTTCCTTTATATAAACTGCCACCTAAGTATAAACATACTACACATCAGTTAAGTACAGAAAAATACGTTATTTATTTCTCTCCAAAACTCTAGGGTATTTATAAACATCCTTATTTTACAGATAAGGACACTGAGAGTTAAAGAGGATAAATGACAGCTTAAAAACCTATGATTACAAGTCTGTACGACTCTAGAATCATAGCTTTGCCCTATGCTGATTCTGATTCTCTCCTATTAAAAAAAGAAAACCCAAAACTCCAACAACTGATCACTAGGTGAAATCACATGTAAAGTATGAGTATTTTTACAAAAGCACCATTGTGCAGTGTTTAGAAACATGGGGTCCGGAGTCAAAGAAGATTAAGCTGGAATTCTAACCAGCTACATCTTTTTTTTTTTTTTTTTTTTTTTGTGGTATACGGGCCTCTCACTGTTGTGGCCTCTCCCGTTGCGGAGCACAGGCTCTGGACGCGCAGGCTCAGCGGCCATGGCTCACGGGCCCAGCAGCTCCGTGGCACGTAGGATCTTCCCGGACCGGGGCACGAACCCGTGTCCCCTGCATCGGCAGGCGGACACTCAACCACTGTGCCACCAGGGAAGCCCAGCTACATCTTTTTTGGAAAATTTATAACTTTTAAATGTGTTTCTGTATCTTAAAGGCAAAAATCCTTATTTCTTAGACTTAAAGTAACAGCTCTTTTTAAAAAGCATCGGGACTTCCCTGGTGGCGCAGTGGTTAAGAATCTGCCTGCCAACGCAGGGGACAAGGGTTCAAGCCCTGGTCCGGGAAGATCCCACGTGCCGCGGAGCAACTAAGCCCGTGCGCCACAACTACTGAGCCTGTGCTCTAGAGCCCGCGAGCCACAACTACTGAGCCCACGTGTCACAACTACTGAAGCCCATGTGCCTAGAGCCCATGCTCTGCAACAAGAGAAGTTACCGCATTGAGAAGCCTGCACACCGCAACAAAGAGTAGCCCCCCTTGATGCAACTAGAGAAAGCCGCGCAACAACAAAGACCCAACGTAGCCAAAAAATAAATAAATAAATAAATTTTTAAAAAAGAAAAAGCATCAAATATTCAATGGCATCTTGTTTTGTACTAGAATTGGAAGAAAATTTATATTAAATGCACATACATAAATTGATTCACACATACTGATTTCATATATGTTAATATAGAAAAGAAGTGTCAACTTCAAAGAATAGAATAAGAGTATCTACATATGGTCAACAAATAGCATAATTCAATGTCAAGCGCTTAGCACAGGCCTAGCAAATTGGGAATGAACTCTCTTGATAATCTCACCCCAACTCAACACTGATGTCTCCTAAATTTCTCCCTCTAATCCTGACTTCCCTACTAAACTTAAATCCAACAGTGCTTTGTGCCTCACTCCACCTGTCTCTTCACATAGCAGGCAAAGTAATGCTGTTCAAACAAATTAGACTGCATCACTGCTCAGCTCAAAACCTTCCAATGCCTTTCTGGTTCACTCAGTACAAGGCCAAGTCCTTCCAATGCCTATAAGACCACACTTCCAACCCTACATACTGTCCCCTGCAATTATCTCATACTCCTCTCCCCCATCCACTTCACTTTAACCACACTAACCTCCTTGCTATTTCTTGAACAAACTAAACACTTTACCTTACTTAGAGTCTTTATATTTGTTGTCCCTCTAATATGAATGCTCATCATTCAGATACCTACATGGCTGGCCCCTCACCACCTTCAGGGCTCTGTTCCAAGCCTTCTTCTCAGAGAGGTTCTCAAATACTCCAACCAACCTCTAATTCACATTCCCAATTTCTCTTCCCTTCTCTTCCACCTATAAGCATTTATCACCACCTAATATATTATAAACATTATTTATCTTGATTATTTTCTATTGTCTATCCAGTAAAATGTAAACTCCAAAGGGCAGGAATTGTCTTTTGTTGACTGCTGGATCACCAGCACAAAGAACATTGCCTAGCATAGTATGGGAGCTCAACAAATACAGAATTTGTTAAATGAATTAATAAATAGTAACTCTCATCAATATGAACCTTTATTTGTAGAGCAGAGTGTGCTCCATTAATTCCATGTTTTCTATCAATTTACTCTGAGAACCTTGTCTGAATCAGAAATTCACATGTTGAAGCCCTAACTCCCAATGTGATGGTATTTGAAGATGGGGTCTTTGAGGGATAATTAGGTTTAGATAAGGTTATGAGGGCCCTCATGACTGGATTAGTGCCAAGAAGAGACATCACAGAGCTTGCTTCCTCTCTATTTCCCCCAACACCCCCCCAAATGTGAAGACACAGGAAGGTGAAAGAGAGCCCTCAGTGGGGAACCAAATCAGCCAGCACCTTGATCTTGGACTTTCCAGCCTTCAAAACTGTGGGAATAAATTTGTTGTTTTTAAAAAATAAAAATAAACTGGGTTCCAATAACATTGCTGAACTTTCACCTAACTGATCTTCGCAGAATTTTTAGCTGTTGACCATACTGATTAACTTTTCATCCAACTAATCATCCGAGATGAAAAGTTAATTAAGAGTGGAGAAAGAATGATACATAAAACAAATAAGTTAATGAATTCGTTCATTTAGAACAAGAGTAACAACAGACCATGGGAATTTTCTTATCACTTCTCCTTATTTTCTACAATTACCAGAAACTTGAGAATTCGGGGTAGAGAGGTTGGACATGCCAAGACCTGCTAGATCTAAGGGATGAGTCCTCAAAAATCACTTCATTTCCCCCATCAACAAAGTTGCCAAGGGCTGTGCAAGGAGCCAATGAGAGGTTTCACTCCAAAAATAGCTGAGAGAACAGTGGGTGATGACCCACCTCCCAGGTTATTCCTGTGCATTTCAACAACGGCCCTTTAAATGGGTTTTGTTATAGCCACACAACAGATTTTTTCAGGCATCAGTCCCTCTTAAGTAACTTCCTGAGATTACACCACTAGGACTCCTCTGGTACCTACCCTCACCATCTTCCCTTGCCCGTGACTCTTTTCACCCATTACTGCTCCTCCAGATTCTTGTCCCAACCCTGTCACTCTCCACCACAGCACTCAAGTCCCTTCTCCACCACTCCTTCTTCCTGCTACTCCATTAACCCCACACAGTTGCTGCCTTAGAATTTAACATCCATTAAACACAGACCCTTGGGGGAAATGGGGGTTTCACAGGATCCTTAAAACTGCCATAAACATTTGGATTCTATCTTAGGGCAACTGAGCAAAACAAAAGTAATTTTTTCATAAATATTTTTTAACAAATATTTTTTCACAAATAAGCTCAGGATGATAAAGGAACGCAAAAATAGAGTCTAATCTAGCCTGGGAGTCTAGGAGGAGAACAACTATTAAGCCAAGGTTGTTCATGGTCAAAAAAATAAGACTATTTCTATAGAATGGACTGAGAGAAAAAGTAAGGATTTACAGACCCTCACCACCACTTCCACTCTTCTTTTTTTACTTTATTTTTGAGGTCGCCCTGACATAAACCCCTTCCTTCGCCTGAGGGCGTCTCTCTTTCAAAAATTTTATTTATTTATGGCTGTGTTGGGTCTTCATTGCTGCACACAGGCTTTCTCTAGTTGCCGTGAGCGGGGGCTACTCTTCGTTGCGGTGCACGTGCTCTTCATTGCGGTGGCTTCTCTTGTTGCGGAGCATGGGCTCTAGGAGCACGGGCTTCAGTAGTTGTGGCATGCGGGCTCAGTAGCCGTGGCTCGCGGGCTCTACAGCACAGGTTCAGTAGTTGTGGCGCACAGGCTTAGTTGCTCCGTGGCATGTGGGATCTTCCTGAACCAGGGTTCGAACCCATGTCCCCTGCATCGGCAGGTGGATTACTTAACCATTGTGCCACCAGGAAAGTCCCACCATTTCCACTCTTGCTACCTCTCTGACCTCTCCTCTCTCTACTCTAACATTCATTCACTCCAATCCAGCTACAGTGGCTTCCTTGCTGCTCTCTTCAAAGTCTCCACCTGAAATTCTTGTCTTCCAGACATCCCCATGGCTAACACTTCTACCTCCTTCAAGTCCATGTCCAAACCTACCTATTCCAAGAGACTTACTCTGACCACCTTATCTAAAATCACAACACTCCTACCTACCCAACATTAAATCCTATGACCCTACTCTATTATATTTTTCCTAATTTCATAACATCACCTTTTATTTCACAAGAGAATGTACATATTTATAATACTATCTTTCTTCTTCCACTGAACTGTTAGTTCCTTCCACGGGAGAAATTCTGTTTTGTTTTTTAGTTTGTTTTTGTCTGGTTTGTTCACTGATTTCTCCCAAGGGCCAAAAGCAGTCCTGGCATACAATAAGCACTCAAATATTCATTAAAAGAAAATAATTATCTAGAAGGGGATAAAAATAATTCAACAAAAGAAGGTAGGGTGAGGGAAAAGGTAGGAAATGTTCAAACTTGGGATATAACCAATTTTCTTCAAGTCTGGGAGCCACTGAGGTGCACTGTTACACCAAATGTGAGAGCCCTGCAATCCTGGGATTCAGGAGGATGACTATGGCCAGATCTCATCATGGGGACCAACAGTTTGGGGAAGGCTTTTCTTAGAACAGTATGGTTAGAGTACTACATTTCACCCAGGCAGGCAGGAGAGAAATTCAGCCACTTTCCCTTTTCCTTCCTTTCCTCCCAAGAGCAGCATCTTAGAAGAATCCACAAAGGAGATATGAGCAGGGTAGGAGTTCAACCTAAAAGTGGCCTGTTAGTTCTGAGGCAATTCCTTTCACTAAGACTAAGAATTTGGAAAGGGTTTGGAAGTATCAGGTGAGTGGAGAATGATTTAAAGAGAGGGGCTGTGGAGGACCACAAAAAAGACACCTTAAAAAAAAAATGGGGCTTCCCTGGTGGCGCAGTGGTTGACAGTCCGCCTGCCGATGCAGGGGACACGGGTTCGTGCCCCAGTCCAGGAAGATCCCACATGCCGCGGAGCGGCTAGGCCCATGAGCCATGGCCGCTGAGCCTGCACGTCCGGAGCCTG